AAGCCCATTAAAAAATGTTCAACATCATTAGTTATTAGAAAAATGCAAATTAAGGGCTCCACACTGGTCGTGGAGCCTACTTGAAAAATAAGTAAATAAAAGAAAAGAAAGAAACATGCAAATTAAAACCGCAATAAGCTATTACCACACACCTATCAGAATGGTGAAAATAAAAATAGTGACATTAAATGCTGGTGAGGATGCAGAGAAAATGAATGACTTCTATATTTCTGGTGGAAATATAAATGGTGTCTAGCCACTCTGGCAAACAATTTGGTAATTTCTCTTAAAAATATGCAATCAGTGATTACACTCCTGGGCATTTACCACAGAGAAATGAAAACTTATGTTTACATACATACACAGCAGCCTTTTTTGTAATAGCCATAAAACTGGAAATCCAGATGTCCCTTCAACAGATAGATGGTTAAACAAACTGTGGAACATATAGTGGATTACTACTCAGCAATAAAAAGGGATAAACTATTGATACGTTCAGCAACCTGCATGAATATCCAGGAAATTATTCTGAGTGAAAAAGGCCAATTCCAAAAAACTACATACTGCATGATTCCATTTGATTCTTGAACTGGCAGTTATAGAAATGGTGAATTGATTACTGGTTGCCAGAAATTAAGGAGGGAGTGTGTGGGAAGGAAGTATATGTGGTCATAAAAGGGCAACATGAGGGACGTTGGTGGTGATGGGAATGTACTCTATCTTGACTGCATCAATATCAAAATCCTGGCTGTCATATTATACTGGTTTTGCAAGATGTTATCACTGGGAGGAAAGTGGGGAAGGGCAAACAAGAAGTATGTTATTTCTCACAACAGCATATGAATCTACAGTTATCTCAAAAAGTTTAATTTTAAAAAGTAATGTGTTTTTTAGTAAATTGTAAAGATGAATACAGACAGGAAAATGAGAATGAGATTCATGCAGATGTTCATTTTCTCTTATTCTTTCTTGGTTTTTCCTGTAAGGTTTACGAGGAGCAATAGCATTTGCCCTGGCTATTCGGGACACAGAATCTCAGCCCAAACAAATGATGTTTACCACCACACTGCTCCTTGTGTTCTTCACAGTCTGGGTGTTTGGAGGAGGAACAACTCCCATGCTGACTTGGCTTCAGATCAGGTGAGTGGCATGTTTAACAAAGGATATGATTAAAAGGCATGGCTGCACTATTTCATTTCTGGTGTTGCTGATTTGGTCCAGAGTACAATGGCAGGTCTGTAACATTAACTTTCCCTGGGGTGAAGTTGACCTTCATTCACAAGGTAGAACCTTCTGTCCTCTGTTAGACCTATCACCAACTGAACTGACTTTTCCAAGAGTCCTAGAAATCTCAGGCTGATGTCTGTTTAGAGTCTGTCTCTAGAAATGAATTTATTTATCTATGAATTCTTCCATTCAACAGTATTTATTGAATACAATGTAATATGTTCTGGAGTATACAAAAATGAGAAACATGTAAGTCTTGTCCTCAAGATATTCACAATTCAACAGGATTTATACAAAAAATCTGTAATACCAAGGAGAAAGTAAATTTGTTTTGTTTTCAATTCCTTATAGCACTTAGGATATAATTAGGGACACAGAAAATACTTAAATGTATTTGATTAGTGAACCATATGTTTAGCCAGAGGGCTCCTATAGACACAGTTTAGACAATTTCTCAAAGGAAAAGGCAATGAAACTTCCGTCAGGGGAACCTCCAAGAAGTACCTGGAAGAGGATCACTATAAACCTAAAGTATATAGATAGTGGATAGTGGCATCCATTGATTTTAAATAGATGTCATAGCTTATGCAGTCTCTTGATATCCAGAATAGCAGGGAGAGCGGAGTATAATAATGGGGCTTTAGGCAGGTTAGAATGATTATCTAGGTTATACAGCAGGGCCCAATAAGGAAGGATAGTGATGTCAACCATAGCATCCACAGGTGAAGGGTCTGGAGGTCCAACATTATTATGGCCTTGTCAGGTCATGGAGATGCCCCAGCAGGAATTAGCTCCAAATGGCCCAATTGATTCAAGGCCAGACTTGGCGACCAGCCAGGAGGGGAGAGCATTAAAGGCAAATCTATTTTTAAATGTTGTTGTCTTTATTTAAGTATATCTTTGACCTGGGTTCTCATTTTCAGATCCCCGAATGTAACAGTACTTTAGGTAAATCACATTTTATTTCTCAGTGCCATACATCTTAATGATCTTGCAATCCTTCCTTGGTCTCCACTCAATCTCTGTAAGGCAATTCCATACCCATCACATCTAACAAGAAAAGATCCATCTGACTGGAAAATGACTTCCAAGAAGATTCAGACAAGGATTCTTATGCCAGTACCAACACAGTGCCTAGGACATAGTAGGATTAAATAAATAATTGCTATATGAAACATTAAATGAATATAACCACAATGTAAATTGCTTTTTGTTAAGCACTTACTGATAATTTTCTATTTGACAAAGAGGAAAGAGAAACAGGACTCAAAAGAGATGCAGAGAGCTTATGCTTAAACTGGGCCAAGTAACCATACATTAAACCAAATTCAAGGAAATGAAGAACTTCTTGAAGTACTGTGACTATTGATAAACACATTAAAGGGCTTTGACCAAAGGTGAATGGAGAGTGTTTTGAAATGCTTGTTGAATTATTTTCTAGGCATATAAATGTGACCTGCAATTTCCTTCGCAGTAGTAGCTTCCTGTAGGTTCCTGTGGATGAGCATACATACTGCATTAAACTCTACAGCACTGGGTCCCCTGTGAACTGTTAGCAAGATAGTGGTGTGTTCAGGTTTCTGGAAAATAAATTTCAGTAGGTGGATCCATGCATGGAAATATTAGGGCTTAGAAAACAAAAGTTAGAGGATACTAATCCGTACAAGATAAAAGTATTAACTACCCCATCAGGTAAATTAGAATATTCAGAACATGAAGTACTGATATCAGCATTTTCCTAGAGTAATTAAAATGTCACTTATTTTCTACTGTTGTCTTTCTTACCCTGAAGAGGTCGCCCCCCAAATCAATAATGTGTTTTACCCTAAAGTGTTTACCTAATTCTCCTATAGTGTTTTCCAAAGGTATCCATTGATTTCAAATAGATGTCATAGCTTATGCAGTCTCTTGATACCCAGAACCGTATAGTAATCCAGGGAGTATAATAATGGGGCTTTAGGCAGGTTAGAATGATTATCTAGGTTATACAACAGGGCCCAATAAGGAAGGATAGTGATGTCAACTATAGCATCCACAGGTAACAGGTCTGGAGGTCAGTTTAGGCCAGCATTATTATGGCCTACTGGGGGTTATCAGGTCATGGAGATGCCCCAATGAAAATTAGCTCCAAATGGCCCGACTGATTCAAGGCCAGACTTCGTGGCCAGCCAGGAGGGGAGAGCATTAAAAGCAGGGCTGTGATATATTTAGGGAAAGGGGCTGACGGGGCTCCAGTATAATAGGCAAGGTGGAAATCTCAGCTGGGAACTAGAGTGTTAAATCTGGAATTGGTAGAAATCCAGTCAGAGAGATCACAGACCCAGTCATGAGAAAATCAGAGAAGGAAAACTGAAATTCATAGATATGTAAGTACCCAGGAGGTGAACTCAGGCAGACAGGAAAGACCAAGGTGAGACCAGTGGTTCTCAAACTTGAGTGAGCATCGGAATTGCCTGGAGGGCTCATTAACCCCCAGAGTGCTGGGCCCCTGCCCCAGTGTTTCTGATCTAATAGATCTGGGTCAGGGCCTAAGAATTTGCATTTCTACCACATTCCAGGCAATGGTAATGCTTCTGGTTCCAAGGCCACATCTTGATAACCACTGGGTGAGACTTCCTAACCCCAGGTGAAGATGGGGCTAATAATAAATACTGCCAGATTTGATGGGAGTTGCCCAGGTCCAGGCACATCTAAGCCCTCAATTTAAACTCTTTACACCTATACTGGAAGGAGGCAGGGGCTAACTTGAGACGGAAGAGTCACGATGCATTGATTAATGGGAGGGAAATAGAACATAATAGAATAAACATAAAAGAATAGGAACAGGGGCCCCTGGGTGGCTCAGTTGGTTAGGTGTCCAGCTCTTGATTTTGGCTCAGGTCATGATCTCAGGGTTGTGAGATCGAGCCCCTCATTAGTCTCCACTTTGGGCGTGGAGCCTGCTTGGGATTCTCTCTCTCCCTCTCCCTCTGCCCCTCCCCCACAACAAAAAAGGAAAAAATTTTATTTTTTATTTTTATTTTTTTTAAGATTTTATTTATTTATTTGATAGAGAGGGAGAGACAACGAGAGAGGGAACACAAGCAGGGGGAGTGAGAGGGAGAAGCAGGCTTCCCGCGGAGCAGGGAGCCCGATGCGGGCTCGATCCCAGGACGCTGGGATCACGACCTGAGTCGAAGGCAGATGCTTAACAACTGAGCCACCCAGGGACCCCAAGAAAAAGAAATTTTAAAAAAAGAATAGGAACATAAGTTAATGTGTGTACAAATGTACACACAAACATGACATAAATTTAGTTCAACCATGTATTAATGATATCATCATCATATGCTCTACTTCCCTATCATGGTTTATAGTGTTGTCAAAGAAATCTTCAGTTCCATCATAGCTTTTAAATGATAGTTGTCCTTTATTTAGACTGTATTTATCAAGGCTTTGCTTGTTTACAGAGCAATGCCTCATTAACCAACTTTCATGTCAGACTCTTTCTATAAAATACCAGAATATAAGTTAATTGGAGCTTTAATAAAATGACATGAATGGAGGAGCCCAAGAAGCAGGAATGAAAATGTGATAATGAATAAACACAAACATCCTCACTTGGTATATAATTTATTTATACACTTTGCATTGCCTTCCTTTCTTGATTTCTTTTAATTTTACATCTTTTGTTTTAAATTATTAGTATGTACTTGAGTTAGTTTTTACCCCAATAAAATGTGCCATTTAGCCTCAAACTACCATAGTAGGATGCAGATAAAATGTTTTAGATGAGGTAACAATTGATAGTATTACTATGAATTGCACTTTGATGGAAATGACTTTAAAACAGCAATGATCCTGTGCTTAGGGAAATTCAGAATGATCTTTACATAATCCAAAGCAATCTAAACATTTAATGCAATCCCTATCAAAATACCACCAGCATTTTTCACAGAGCCGAAACAAACAATTCTAAAATTTGTGTGGAACCAGAAAAGACCCCAAGTAGCCAAATTAATCATGAAAAAGAAAAGCAAAGCTGGAGGCATCACAATTCTGCACTGCAAGCTATATTATAAAGCTGTAGTCATTAAGACAGCATGGTACTGGCACAAAAACAGACACATAGATCAATGGAACAGAATAAAAACCCCAGAAATGGATGCACAACTATATGGTCAACTAATCTTTGACAAAGCAGGAAAGAATATCTAATGGAAAAAAGTCTGTTCAATAAATGGTTTTGGGAAAACTGGACAGCAACATGCAAAGGAATGAAACTGGACCACTTTCTGACAGCATACCCAAAAATAAACTCAAAATTGATGAAAGACCTAAATGTAAGAGAGGACACCATCAAAATCCTAGAGGAGAACACAGGCACCAACCTCTTTGACATCAGCCGCAGCAACTTCTTACTAGACATGTGTCCAGAGGCAAGGGAAACAAAAGCAAAAATGAACTATTGGGACTTTATCAAGATAAAAAGCTTCTGCACAGCAAAGGAAACAGTCAACAAAACTAAAAGGCATCCTACAGAATGGGAGAAGATATTTGCAAATGACATATCAGATAAAGAGCCAGTATCCAAAATCTATAAAGAACTTATCAAACTCAACCCCCAAAAAACAAATAATCCAGTTAAGAAATGGGCAGAAGACAATAGACATTTCTCCAAAGAAGACATGCAAATGGCTAACAGACATGCAAAAAAATGCTCAATATGATTCATCATCAGGGAAATGTAAATCAAAACTATGCTGAGATACCACCTCACACCAGTCAGAATAGCTAAAATTAAGAACATAGGAAACAACAGATGTTGGCAAGGATGCAGAGAAAGGGGAACCCTCTTATCACTGTTGGTGGGAATGCAAACTGGTGAAGCCACTCTGGAAAACATACGGAAGTTCCTCAAAAAGTTAAAAATA